CTGCAACTTACAATGGGCTACACCTTCCGCAGCTGAACTATTACGTTTTATGAGCTGAGGCGCAGCTGTGCAAATTTTTTGAGCCTTACTCCGTGGCCCTCCCAATGCAAGCTATGGGCGTGGCTCGCGGCTAGTCTCTGGGTGTCGGGTTTAGTGCTGAAGCAATCGCCAAACTCGACTTCTCTTCAGCTCCAGCTTGGGGTCCTAAAGTCCCCGAAGGCCCTGAAGGCCATGGAGCCGCCTGAAGCCGAGGAAGCGGCCAGCCCGCTTCCGACCCTCTATCGCTGACCGTCGCCTAGGCGACGGTGATAAATTTGTTCCCTAGCAGCATACACTCTGCATCTTCCCATGCTCGGACTTGACAGCACGTCCGTGTGCATCTTCGAGTGCTTTCTGCGGAGTGCCACAATGAAGCCGCATGCCCGAAGTCGGATCGTCCGAACCGAGCCTAAAATGGTTTGCCGTTGGAGGCATTCCGGTCTACGGAACACCCTTCCGCCAAGCAACTGGGTCTCAGGAGGATTGTGCCATTCACCTAGAGACTTTGATCAGCTCGCTTTTGCCAGTGTCCTCAACTCTGCAGAAGGTCTAGACCGAGGACACTGTCAACTGCTACTCCATCGAAATGAGGATCATATGAGGATAATCACAGAAGTCCTGGGGCTTGAAAACCAGCGGTATGAGGGTTCCCCTCCGATTCCAAGACTTTCGGTTGGATGATGTGCCGAGCAAGCAATTTTTCCTTGCATTTCGGGCTGTTCTCTTAGTCACCGTGGCTTAGCACGAAGTTGTTGCCAAGAACGCAGGGCTTAGCTTGACGAATTCCTCCAGTGCAGGGCATTGTCGTTGAAACGAGGTGGTGGAAAAGTCTGAGTCTGTCTAGAACGAGGCTGAATGCTTGGGGGCGGCACTCCTGAAGCACTTAGACATCTTTCACTGCCAGGTGCCAGACAAGGAGGACATTAAGCGACCCAATGGCCTTTTCAGCCGTTTTCAGATCCCTTTGTGCCTGGCGTTGTTTACACGTTTTTTTTTGGGTTTTCCCTGGGAAGAGCCTTCCGACAGAAATGCTGTGTCAGGGTTGGCGGGGTCATGCAGAGTTAAGGCTTCCAAGCTCGAAGATTAAGGCAGACGAGGTACTCGTAGGGCTTTGGGACATTTTACATTTTCCCCTGTTTGGGGTTAAGAGGATCTCATTCACTAATATTTTTCAACGGCTTCAAAAGCCCAGAGAAACGCAAAACTCGTAGCTTCTGGGCGGATCAGCTCGGAGCCTGCGATGGTCCCGGAAATGTCCGATCCCAACCTCAGCCACCAGCCACGCCAGCGGAAAACAGGCGAAGGGCGGTGCCCTTGGACGTCATTTTCTGTTTAAGGGTCGTATAAAGGTTTTACAAGGACTTCATGGAGGGGTGGGGCTTTGCGGGACGCAGTTCATGAGCCCTCGTCATTCCTCTTCCCCAGCTCCCATCATGTCGGAAATGTCCTAAGCTCCTGAAGCTTGAGCTCCAACGTTTGCTGCGGGGAATCGGCCAGAGCAGCTTGGCTTGACCTCCAAAAGAGGTACTGCCCTAGAATTGGCGTCTCCACCTTGGTTTAGACCGATGATGGGAAACCTTCCCTCCCTTAAACATCATAATCGTGGGGATCCCGATAGTCAATCTCTTACAGCGACGGGATGTATGACTTAACCAAGACGAAGCATCGCCGGAACGTCTCAGTCGCCAGGGAGCGGCGCCCACCTCTGATTCTGAGGTTCACCCGCTGCCGGCTAGTGTTGCGGGTTAGGGCTTGTAGGGTGTAGGCTTTTTGGTTATTTATAGGGTTAGAGCTCCACCCTTGGCGTTGGAATTGTGTTCTGGCGCCCTGGCGTCGCATGAAATCTCCAAGCTCTCGTTTCGGGCTCCAGACCGCTGAGCCCATGTTGCAGGTGAAGCTCCGAAGCCTAAGCAGGCCCGGGCCAGGCTGAAAGTTCCCAAACAGGCCGGGTGGAAGTTTCTCTGAGCCCTTTCAGGCAGCGGTGGAGCTACTGCCCTCCCAAGCGTTCGTGTGGCTGCCCGTGCCCGGTCAGCAGAAGCTGGGTACGTACTGGAAGATCCCCAAAAAGCCCGTAGAATATGAATCCTGCGTGCGCCGTCCTTTGAAATCCTTCCTCGGACCTTGAAATAGTTTTCGGAGCGCACCGGCCATCCAAGCAACATACCCTACACTGAGGCACAGGAGATCTTTTTTGCGAGCTCCAGCCAGGGTTGGCATCAGGCTACGATTCGAGTACTGCCAAGTTATGCATCGTAGAGGCCTTAACCCTAAACCCTAAACCCCCTCAAAGAGCCTGAACATCAGGCTCTGCATTTCCTCCCCTACGCCGAGCCTGTAGGGTCCCTGAGGTCGGTCTCTGATCACGGATCGACTTGCAATTTGGCGTGCAGGCTTTAGGGTTTGGCCCTAGACCTCGCAAGCGATGACTTCCGATGACCGAAAAGTTACACACCAAACCCTAAGCTCTTATAAACCCCCTAAACCCTAAACAGCCTAAAATTCCAAACCCCATGCTTAAACAAAAAGACCCAAAGCCCAAGGCCTTCACGCAGACGCCGCGCAGGGTCGGCGTCTGTCAGATGCCTTTGCCAGGGTCGGCTCTTCGGCCTTGGGGAGGTTTTAGCCTTGAGGGCCTTTGGGGGCAGCTGCCCTGAACCCCAAGGGCCCTAAACCCTAGAGGCCCTAGAGACTCGAAGTTGAGGGCTTCATTCCTTAAAGGCCCTAAACGCCAGAATCCTAGAAGCCAGAAGTTAAGGGCGTCGTCATCGTCATCCCGATCCTGGCAGGTTTGCTCAGCAGTCCGGGGCCGGTCGTCGCAGGGACTTTTGCACAAAGCCCCAGAAGCTACGGCCTGCAACCGGGCGTTGCTTCGTAGGAAGAATATAGGCTCTCTGTCTGAGAACATCAAGGGGATGCCTGCGATGTTGCGAGCGGCGGCGCTAGACCAGGTGCCCAAGGTTGATACGCCGCTGTCTGCCAACGACACGCTTGAACATGTCACGCTTGTCACACGGCGACTTGTCTTCAACTTCACATGTGCCTTAAGCCCCGAGCCGCATGTGAAAAGGTCTATGGCCGTTTGCGTGACTTGCCGCAGCCGACACGACTGGGCTTCCCCACAAACGGCAGCTGCCACCCTCACCCAACCCTGAAACCCGAAATCCCCACCCTTCAACCCCAAAACCCTAAACCCTAAATCAACCCCAAACCCTAAACCCCCGAACCCTAAACCCTAACCCCTAAATCCCCTAAACCCGAAACCCTAACCCCTAAATCCCCTAAACCCGAAACCCTAAGCGCCTGAAGCCTCGCCAGTGGCTTCGCAGGCCGGAGCCGGATGATGGAGCCCTGCAAGATCCGCTTCTGAGTCTCTGCACCTCGAAGAAGGGGGGCAGGGGTTTAGGGTTTGGGGTTTAGGGTTTCGGGTTTAGGGTTTAGGGTTTGGGGTTTAGGGTTTGGGGGTTCGGGTTTGAAATTGGGTTTGGGCAACCCTGGAGAACCTGTTAAGCAAGTTGCACTAAGGAAAACCACAGTGTTTGCTCGATGTAGCCGTATTCTGGTAACTTCATCTTGGAGCCCCAAAGAAGTTTTCAAGGCGTCGCGCCTCAGCATCCGTCACTGGACGAGCTGTTAGTCGTGAGGTGGCGATTTGCGTCCTCGGTTTGCGGATTTCAGGGGCTTTAGGGTTCAGGGCCTGAGCCGAAGGTAAGAGCGCAAGGGCAACAGTGTCCGGAGCAAGTTTTCCTGCATGGGCATTTGGGACACCATGCCATATCTATGTGTACCTCGAAGCCTAAGCCCGAATGCTTGAGGGCACTTCGGGGCGGATCGCTGATGGCCCGGCAGCCTTTGGTTTCCGAGGCAGCCCTTCTGGCGGCATCCGCTGTGCAGTTCCTTCTTTCCAAAACCGATTCGGTAAGGACCTTCTTCTTGCAGAAGCGCCCTCTCCCTGCAAGAGGAACGTCCGTCGGGGTGCAAGCTCTTGTATTCACCGCGGTATGAGTGAGAACCCGACCTGTCACGGGAACATCTGTAGCAGATGGTCCTGCGCGCCCAAGAGGAGCCAGGATGGTCTCCGTAGATGGAGGTGTAGATTTCTTGCCGTGCTTCGAGCATCTTCGCCGCGGAGATCCTGCATGCGGAAATGCATTGACGATGGCATGAAGTGTTCGCGATCATGAATGTTCTATGTGTGTAAGGGTGTATCCAGACTTACATGCCTACATGTCTATTTCAGTGTATACTCGTGTCGCTACGTATTCAGCAAGACCGTCACCCAGGCAGCGGAGTCTTTTCCTTTTCAGTTGTGGAGCCCTTGCAGCATTCTTGTCCATCCTCTTGGTCGGAAATGCCCTGAAGAAACAGCACTGTCCCGAAATACTAATACTCTGGTAAGCCTGGTGTCTTCAAGGTCGTAGGAACCCGACCAAACATCTTCCACACTTCAGGAAGAACTTGCTGTCGAAACAGTGGCCCCAAACGCCGCGCAAAGGGAGCGACACTTTCTACAGAACCGAAACCCTAAACCCGAAACCTGAGCTGCCACACTGTAAGTCTTGGCCGGCACATCGCGGCTTTAATGCGACTTGAATACTGCTTACAAGAGGCAAAACATCGCAACGGTCACAAACCACGCGTTGTTTGAGGGAGAGGAATGCTGCAGCGACCTGGGAGGGGGAATTCACATGTGCTAGCTCCTTAGAGGATCATGGGACTTAGTAACAACGGTTTGAAAAAGGTGTTCTGACTATAGTCATAGTTACCTAATTTCCCGTTGAGGGTTATAGTTACGTATATTTGCCCGCTGAGGAACTTACGACCTTACTTACTAAGTCCCACGATCCTCCAAGTATGCCACATGCTGGACATGGGTTCGTGGTTGGCACGTGGCCGCGTGATGCAGCATAGCAGATGACCAGCAATTTCTGGTTCAACTGTAGCCTCCGGGGGGAGCTCGGGGCATGTCAACCAAGCCGCCTGGCTGCTTTTGTGGGTCTCATGTTCGGTTTGAGTGTCTTAACGCATGTCCCCAAGACGCAGAGGTTGGAGACTTTCTGGGAGCTGCTGAACAAGCTCGGGGCTTGCCATCAGGCCGAACTGGAGGCTGCCAGGGCCGGGGCTGGATGCCCATCCTCGGAGGAAGAGCGTCATCGCAGGCAGATCAGCACGAAATCAGAGGACGAGAAGTCCGAGGGGCAGAGGCTGCAAGATGAAGTGGATATGACGGGGTCACGCAGCGGCTCTTCTATTGAGTCAGTGCGTGTGCCTACACATGGACGGCTTCGTTCAATGTCTAAACCCAGCTTCTTGGCCAAGACTTTTAGCGCCCCAGCTTCAATCCCGATGTCCCAGGCCGTCGGTAACGATCCATTACTTCTCCACCCGGGACTGTTGTCTTTTTAAAGTCAACGCTGCACTTCAATTTCGAAATGGCAGATGTTGCTTGCGCCTGAACCTCACTCCCTGCGACAGTAAGAAACCAAGTGCCGAAGATTATCAAAGCTGGCAACTGCTTTTCACCAGGCTTTGGCAGTTTCGACAACCGCAGTGCCGATGGCGACAGGTTCTTCCGGGAAACCGAGACGCAATATGCACGCACAGTGGGCCACACTCTGCAGGAACAGCAACTCGCCTGACCGATCCCATTGCTCCAGACTTGGCGGGTTTCGTTTTTCGGGTTCGGGGCGAAGGCAATGTTTGTATAAGCGTGTGGGATCGTCGAAGAGGTAGTCGGAGTTGTGAATAGTGGAAGTAGGATCTCTAGTAGTACAAGGTAGTAGAAGTAATAGTGGTACAAGGTAGTACAAGTAATAGTAGAAGAAGTAGAAGAAGTAGTAGTAGTCGTCGTCGTAGTGGTAGTGGTAGTGGTAGTGGTAGTGGTAGTAGTAGTAGTAGTAGTAGTAGTAGTAGTAGTAGTAGTAGTAGTAGTAGTAGTAAAGTAGTAGTAGCCGCCACAAGTGCTCAAGCGGCCGCGCTGAATGAGAGGTTTTGAACAGGCTTGGGGCGCAACTGCTGTGCTAGAGGTTCCGACCGGGCCCTTTTCTGAACAGTAAAGGTTTGCGCCTCCTTCTACGCCATGGTCCTCTTCCTTTTCTCACAGGAGCTGCTTTGAGCCGCCAGGTCCCAATTCCTGGGCCCAGACTCTGTTTAAAACATTGCAACACTGGGTAGGCGGTAGGGTTTCCACCTCCGCGCGGTGGAGGGAGTCATTAGGCTTCTGTCTCTTGACGAAAGTAGCGGATGGCGCAATTGCCAGTGCACTCACAAAACTTTGCATCTCTTCGTAAGAATTCGTTCAAGTCAGCATGTAGAAGGACAGTCCGTAGTGATGGGCCCGTACCATACCGAGGGCAGGTTCTGACACCTGCCTTGGTTGATCGTCTGGGGGTACGCCCCCCACCCACTCGAAGAGAGCTTCAGTCACAGACTGCTGACTCCCCTGCATATGGCACAGCCTCCCGCAGGGCAGGACGGTTGGAAAGATCCATTCGTGTTATTTCGTGGAATGCGGGCCACCTAGGCCAGCAGCAATGGGGCGAACTCAAAACTTGGCTAGCAGCTGAAGCCTCTCATCACTGCGATATCCTAATATTGCAGGAAACGCACTGGATTGAGACCAGTGAATTCAGCGTCTCGGGGTGGTACTGTATCTCCTCAGCCTCGGAGTCTCCCAAACCCAACACCCGGCCAAAACAGGCTTCGAAGCGTAACACTAGGCAAGAACCGCGTGCTCCTTCCACGACTCGTGCGGATGGGGTCATGATCCTCTTCTCGCCCAAGTTCGTCCCCAAGAGCCTACGCTGGAAAGAGTGGAGCCCGGGTAGGGTCTTAGAAGCTCGTGCTGACATTGCAGGTACTAGGCTGGTCGTCGTCGCGGTGTACCAACATGCCTGGTCTTCCGCCAAGACCATCCAGTCCAACAAGGATGACCGAGCTAAGGTACTATCTGTCATGTCCAAGGTGATCAAGCAGGTGCCTAAGAGGGACTCTCTTATTGTAGCAGGTGATTTTAATACCTCCCTGCGCCAAGCTCTCCATTGGTGGGAACGCACGTGAAGCCACCCACTGAGGACCGCCCTGACGAATCCCACTTATTTAATCTGTTGCTCCGGTTGCGTCTGGTAGCCCTCAACACCTGGCAATGTGACCACATAGCTACCTTCTCACAGGGGGGAGTGGAGTCGCAAATTGACTTCATTCTAACGAAAGAATCTACGGCGGGAGGTAAGGCCAAACGGTCTGCCCCCTGGGTTGACTGCCCGCTGGGCAGCTGGAAGAAAGGAGGACATTACCCGCTAAAGGCTGACGTACCCCTCCAACACCATTGGCTGCTTCCATCCCATAAGCCCAGCACGCGCCGGTACGATTCACTCGCTCTACAGGCATCGGTCAGAGAAGAAGACGAAGCGGCAAAGGCACTGCACAGTTGGATCGCTTCCAGAATTGACACCTGCCAGGACCCCAAGGCATGGAATGCGTTGCTTCTGGAAGGTGCGGAACGCTTTTTCCCAAAAATTCCGAAACGAAGACAGATCCCGCTGGAGTCGGAAACCAGACGCATGTGGCGGGCTCGCACCCAAGACAGGGTTGCACATACAGCTCCCTCAGCACAGCTGATCGAGTCACCTAAAGCAATGGCACAGCCTCCTAATCCGAGCACGCCTTGTCCGCCGGACACCGAAGCTGAGCTGGCACAGGTGGCACACCGCCAAGCGGTGAAACAAGCCAAGAAAGACCGGATTGCGAGTTTCATATCGGAAGTAGATGCGAGTCTGGCTGAAGGTGACCAGCATATCTCCTTTCAGACCCTCAAAAAGCTGCAGCCTTGGCAGCCTGCGCGAAGAGCTCAGCTGAAGGACAACACGGGACATCTCCTAGGCCCGGCGCAAGAGCTCGCAGCCCTCAGGGACTATGCCAATCAGATATTTGCGGCCCATCCTCCGTTAAGGACCATGCATGGTGCATTCCCTGTTTTGGAGCCGCCCAAGCTGGCAGCTCACATACATACCATCAAGCCTAATAAAGCTGTTCCAGACGGCGCCGCACCCGCGGCTGTATGGAGACTGTGTAGTGACATCGTTGCACCGGTACTTTCCAAACACGTAGCATCCAAGCAGGCCGAGGACAGTCTAGAATCTGACCTCGTAGACGCGGATCTCTGCTTAATACCCAAGCCGGGCAAGCCCTCCGACAAACCAGCAAACTTGCGACCCCTGGGCATCCTTAGACCTGATGCTAAGGGACTGGCGGGAGCGGCCAGAGAAGCACTTCAACCATTGACCCTCTCGTTCCTCAAGCACATGCCACAGTTTGCTTACCTGCCAGGTCGGGGGCTGTCAGACGCGCTAGAACGTGTGGTGCATCACTTGCGTGAGGCTCGATCCCTGTTAGAGCAGGCCCACCCCACGCGACACGCCTTGCAACAAGGCATACAGTTCCCCGCCTTAGTCGGCGGCCTCACTTTTGCTCTCGACCTCAGCCAAGCGTTTGACACCGTCTCTCGACAAGAGATCATAGACCTACTTCAAAGAGAAGGGGCAGATCAGGACACAGTCCACCTCGTTCAGGCTCTACATGACGGGTCTCGGTATGTCCTTCACGCACAGGGAGACTCCACCTCTGTTGAAACCACAGCAGGCATTAAACAAGGATGTAAGCTCGCCCCCACACTCTTCTCTTTCCTCACAGGTGACCTTTTCCGCTCTTTGGTTGACCTTTTCGGCGCTGAGCAGGTCTTGAAATTCCTGACAGGATATGCTGATGATCTCACGCTTCACCGGACAATCCGCTCTGACAAGGACCTCAGGGCCATTCATGCGCTCATTGCAGCGCTACTTGAGGAAGTCCGCAAGCACCGCCTACGAGTCAACATTAGCAAGTGTGTCATCCTGGTGAAGTTAGCGGGTCGAGAATCTCAAAACGTGATGAACAAACACGGCTGCTGGATCACAAACTCCAAGGGCGAGCAGGTCCGTGGATGGCGCATCGGGCCTAACAAATCATTCCCCGCCTTCCAGTGGGTCTCCTGTAGCAAGTACCTGGGGGTTATGATCTCCTACAGCAACTTCGAGCTACAGTCCTTGCATTACCGCATAGGGGAAGCAAAGCAAAAGCTGCATCAAGTCCGCCAGTTTGTCTACAACCGTCGGTATGCGAGCACCATGTCGAGGCTCAAGGTTTGGCAAAGCACCGTCCTGAGCACCCTGACCACAGGTCTCTCAGACGTCGGACTCAGTGAGGAGTCGGCAAAGCAGCTACGCAGTTGGCATGCTTACAAGGTGAGATCCGTGCTGAACATGCCAGCACACACCAGTCGCATCACCACTAAGGATCTCTTCCAGCTTTATAGCATTCAGGACCCGGTCCAGGCGATGCAGGTCAAGCTTAGGAAGCGACTCCGCAAACTTGAGCGACGTGCAGCCAGAAGCCCAGATATCACAACTGAGCATTCTGTTTTGCAAGTCATCCGGGACAAGCTGCATTTCATGTCACAGCTCCCTGAAACAGTTGAGCACCCTGTAGCCCTACATGCATGCACACTCTGCGATGCCTCTTTCGAGACAGCAAACGGGTTACACTTACACAAGTCGAGAGTGCATCCAGCCAGCATTGACCGATTTGTGCCATCAAGCTTCGATCGACAACTCCACGCGGTAGATGGGATGCCGCAATGTGCCGCTTGCATGCGCAAATTTCATCAATGGAAAGGTCTTCGTGACCACTTGTTGTCAGGAGCATGTCCGGAACCCCAGAAGCTTCGAACTCTGAACGTGACTGACAAACACTCAAGTCACCCTGAGGTAAGGACCCTGTCCCAGCTGCGACAGGACATTGCCCAACTCCCACAACATCGAATAGCGGTGATCTCAAAGACAGCGGAGGCCCGGGTCCTGATCCATAGGTGCCTCACGTGTGACTTCTGGACTTTCGATCACACTAAAGTCAAGTCACACTTCCGTCAGGCGCATCCTAAGGACTGGTCACGGCTGCACAAGCGTGCAGTCTCTATATGTCAGGGTTTCTCGCCTCACCTTGCCAAGGGACACCCGTGTTCATTCTGCGGTTACAAGGTCTATGATCGTAGACTGCACCCGGAACAATGCCCCGTACTTTATCAGGTGAGCACACAGTGGCTGCGAGGGCAACCGGAGGTAGAGGAAGCCGTTACTGCTCCCCCCTCCAAGCCCCAAGAACGGTCACTGACCCACTTCTTTAAGTCACGGTCGAATGGCACAGCCTCCAATCAGTCGAGCACAGCTCGTCACACCCCGGCAGACAAGCAGGCGTCCGATCCGCAGTCCTCAGGACAAGCGGAAATTAGACCCGAAGGAGTGCACAAACGCGCTCTGACTAACACGTCCAACTCGTGTTACGCCAATGCCCTATTCCAGGCTCTGCATCAGATCTCGAGCTTTGGGTATGATCTAGGTGCTTTCCAGTCCGTCCTATCCCATCTAGGCGACGAGCGAGCCCCCAGATTACTGAACCTGTTCGGCTTGTTTGAATTTCGCCATGCAATCTCAGGCTGGCGACTTGACGGCAGACAGCATGATGTTTCAGAGCTGCTTCTGCATATGCAGTCCAAGCCTTTCGGCTCCCTTCAACAAACCCAGTGGCAGGGTC